CGATTGCGAATCATAGCGACCCTATAGGACAGAGTAGAACTGCCCCATAGGGTTTCCAAGGCTGCATATCTTTACGGAAGCAGACTGCCACATCTTTCTCCTGAGAAGAGCTGGTGGTTTCAAACTGCTGACTTTTCGGTTAGCAGCAGATTGTTTAACCAGTGTGTCACCGAGGCTCAGGTGGGGTGAGGAGGTATTTTTTTTTTTCTCTCCAACTACACATAACTCGCACTGTACAACCCAATACTCTAAAACTGTGCTACTCAAAGTGTGGTCTAAGGAGCTGTCAACACTGGTCATCCTTGAGATGTGAAGTGAGAAACCTCTAGCCTCCATTTTGATCTAAATCTTTCTCCTCTTCTGCTGACTACCTTTCTTATTCTTGATTTGCTGTTTCCTCTTCTTTTTCTCTAACCATTATCCTCTCTATACAGCTCTTATTTCCACTTTATTTCTTCTTATGTTGGTCATACGACATCAAAGTTTTTGTGCTTTCTAAAAACGCTTCGTTTTGGTGAAAATATACATAGCAAAGCATACACCATCTCAACAATTTCAGTAACATGTACAATTCAGTAACATTGATTACATTCTTCAAGTTATGCAACCATTCTCGCGTCCTTTTCCAAATCATTCTACCACCATTAACATAATCTCAATGCCCCCTTGTGCTTTTGCTTTTTAAAAAGTGTTCATCATTGAATAAATGAACTTTGTCCTTTACTTCACTTTAAACAAAAAAAGTGTGGTCTGTAGACCACCAGCATCAGCATCATCTGGAAGCTTGTTAAAAATACAGAGAATCTCAGGCCTCAGCCTAGACCTCCTGAATCAGAACCTGCGTGTTAAGAAGACCCTCTGGTGTGAAGTTTAAGAAGCATTGCTGTAATATACCCCGAAAAGGCCATAACTGAGTGAAATGCTGAGGACTGAATTGAGATACCTTGAAAAACTCCACGGATGATTCTAGTATGCCCCCGCCCAGTATGGGAACAACTGGACCATTGGTTTTTAGAATGACACTTCTAGGATGCTGAGCAGGGTAAATGAGAAGGTGAAGGCTGCTTCTCATGTGATGTTGGGGAGGGCATATGAGCTTGCCATTGAATGTCATTCCAGAAGCAAACATCAAGGCTGGGTGCTGACATAAACATGGGCATCCAAAGCAGGCCTGCAGGAAGCTGGATCACCTCCTTGCACTTCCCCAGCTGCCCGCTGTGGGGCAGGAGCAGGCAGGAAGAGAGGCATGGAGGGGCTCAGCACAGCCCCAGGCTGCCTTCCCCACGTCACTTTCCCATTCCTGATTTCACTCACCCACCCTAGAGCGATTCTTCTCCCACTTCCCGGGAAAGGGGAGAGAGGTTGCCCTGAGGGTCAACTCAGATGGCCTGATTTCCCTAACCCCCTCCTGGTCCCTCTGGGATTGTCCTGTCGGGCGCCAGATCTGAGGGGTCAGAGGTGGCCTTGGGCTTTGCCAGGGGGGCCAGGCCAGCCAGGCAGCATTGCTGCCGGGCGAGCAAGCAAGCGTCAGAGCCCCACCAAAGGCCCCCGCTAAGAATGCAGGTCAGCAGGAGGAGCTGCGAGGAGAGGAGGAGGGGAAGGCCCAACCCTGCCCAGACAGGCCCAGCCGGCCCCACAGCTGCCCTTCTGTCCCTGCGGGCAGCAACGGGGGAAAGAAAGAGGACTCACCAGTGTCCTGGGGTCTAACTTCCCCAGAACCAACAAGACAAAAGAGGAGCCCTCAGGAGTGGGGAGAGCATGAGGTCACGGAAAACCCGCCTTCCCCTCCTCCTCCCAGGCTTTTAAATCTAGGAGTAAACGGATGCAAACAATTGGCCCCCAAACCGGTCTGGTTTCCTGTATAATCCGTAAATCATTCTGATGCCCCCATCCCAAGGTGGCCTTCAACTTTGTGACCCCAGACTCTTCCAAAACAAGTGGTGGGATCGGCCACCCTGGTAGCATGTTTGGCTCAGAGAAATTAGGTAAGGGTGGCTGTTGTGAGCTTCCGTTGAGCTGGTCTCCAACTCATGGCGACCCCATGTGTTACAGAGTAGAACTGCTCCATGGGGTTAGAGGGGAGGAAATTGGGGCCCCACCAGGGGAAAATAATAATCTTGGCAAAAAAAGTAGGATGGGCAGGAGAAAGAACACAATATCGTACCACTGCCCCTGTTGGGGGCCAGAAACTGAACCTCCAGCAACCTTCCTAGCTGTGGGGCTCTAGAATCATGAGGTTTTCACCCATTTGACATGAATTCGGCCCCAACTGTGTGCTAGGCATTGGGCGGCTTGGGAAATGTGTATGGATGGGCATTTCTGCATATCTCTGAGGGCGCCCGATGGGCCAGTGAGGGTGTTTGTGCACACCATGGTTGCTTAACTGTGGCAGGTCTCTAGCTGTGAACTGCAGCAGGAGCCTTTCCCTCATACTTTCCAGCTGGGCGGGAGCCCATCAGATATTTTGGCTGCCTTTCATTGCCTTGTCCCTGATAGGGATCATCCTGGGTGAAGAAATCACTGTCAGTCACCCCCACCTTGCTCATTGCCAGCACACCCCCATGGGACGGGGTAAGAGAGCAGAGGCCAGCTAGCTCTGGGAGGCAGGGAACCTGGGTCCGTGGCAGAGGAGGGAAAGGAGGGGGCTTATACGTGGAGGAGAAAGGAAGTATCTAGAACCTTCCCATCCCCACAGGTGAAAATGAGGGAGGGATGGTCAACCCAGAGGGCACTCCTCCCTTCTTCTGCATCAGCCACCACAGGGGCAGGATCAGATCCTTCAATCAACCCAGCTCAGCCCCAACCAAGCAGGGGTGAGGCTGCCCAGGTGATGCAGGATCAAAAAGGATGTGTCCACCCCACCCTGCAGCCCAGACTTGGTCCTCACTGCTGAGGGACACTGAGTCAAAAAGGAAACCGAGCTGGAAGACAAATGAAGCAATGATGTGGTTGACAACTTTATTGTGGCATAAAAAACACAGGCTGTTTCTTCTTCCTCCTTCCCCCAAAGTGGGTTCACAGCAGTTAAAGAAAAAAAATTCCTACATTTCTCCTCTAGGGTGGCTGCCTGGAAAGGCAGACAGCCAAGCATCCTAGATCTATAAAAGAGGGGAGCAGAAGAAAACCTATTCAAAGCTCCCACCCACACGCCTTAGAGCTCGGGACCTCAGTGGGAGGGGGGACATCCTCATGCCTCCCCCCACCAACACCCATTCGAGAGTTCCCCTTAGAATGGTGACTAGAAATGGCTGTCCTGGTGGCACAAGGAGGGGGTGGCTGGTTTCGATGGGTGGAGGAGAAAGGCATCCCACACCCACAGTGCACTTCCTTTCTCCCCTCTCTCCACCTGGCCAGGCCACCTGCAGGCACTGCCAACTCTCCTCCTTCCCCCACGGAAGGGGACCTGGAGCTGGGCTAGGAAGGAGGTGGGGAAAAGAGGGGGAATAAAAAAAGAACATTACTTCCTAAACTACCCCAGGCCCATGAGTCCCTCAGGGAGAAGGAACATTGTCCCTTTTAAGGAGGGCCCCTTTCTAGACGAACATATATTCCCACCCAGAGCCCAGCTCCTACTTCCCATAGAGCTCCCAGTCCCTGGACTGGGCTCCAGCAGCTCCAAGGGAGGAAGAGATGCTGTGAGCCTAGGTCCCAGAACCTTGAATGGGGTGAAAAAGACAGGGTCTCCCTAGCTGGAGACCTCAGGCTCAGTAGAGAACCACACACACACACACACATCACACACACAGGCAACACACATAGATATATACACAAGCATACACATGTCCTAATATTAAATAAAATACCCTTTGCTTATAACTTAAAAATCAATACACAGCTAATCCCCGCATAGGACTCTGGGTGGCCAAAGAGGGGCAAAGGGAAGGGGAGGGAAGGAGGAATCTTAAGGCCTCTACCTCCAGCCTGGGAAAGCCCACAAGCTCCAGGGGCCTTCCCCATAATCAGCTTCTTTCTCCTCTGCCTGGCTCAGCCTCCACTGGGCTTCTCCCCTCCCTCCCTTCCCCACCCCCTGATCATAATCAAAATGTATTTCTAGCATCTAAAGAAGGGAATAGGGACAGCTTTCTGGACATTGCCTCAGAAGGCAGAACCCCTTCTAGTGAAAGAACAATGCCTTCATATGAAAGGGGAGTTTCCCCTGTGGGAATGGGGAGGAAGGAGTCTCCTAGCTCCCTCTGGGGGTCCCTAATTCATCCTCAATACACTCTGTAGGGTGGGGGAGAAGGGGTGCAGGTGGAAGGGAAAGGGAAGGGCCAAGCTAAAGAAAGAGTGGGCTTAGCTTCTCAGTGAGCAGGGAGATGGCCAGTCAGGGGCGGTCAGGATTCGGAGAGGGGACTGCTGGAGGTCCCTCTGCTGGGACACCCCCCAACTAGCTGAGGTAACCCTCTTTTCAACCCCACGGGAAGACAAAAGATGGGGACCTAGGGTGAGGAACTACATCAGTTCCAGAGTTGGGACTTCCAGCTATCTTGAAAACCTCCATGGGGTAATAGATGGAGGAGTTGGGCTACTGAACTTTACTTTTTACAAAGCCCAAGAGTTAAGAACTGAATCAGAGCTGGAGAAGGAAGGAGTTAGTTCCTTCTACTCTCCCACCAAATCCCCCTTCTCTCATGTGAGGAGAGGACTTCCCCTTCACCCAGTCTTCCCCAAAGTGGCTCTCCCCTCCACACTACAGATCAGGCTGCGAACCTGTCCAAGATTCAGGCCCTCTCCCTTCTTCCTTCATGGCTCCATCAGACTTGGTCTGGAAGGGTTAATAAGGAAGCACACCACAGGAGTTATTTCTCCGGAAACAACTCTCCCGACCAGATAGATACCAGCACTATGGGGACCCCCCAGCCTCTTCTATCCCATCTCAGCTCTCCCTCTGGAAACCCTAGGGGCAGAAGCACTATAAGGGGGATGAAAGGGACACAGGGCGGCTCTGGAGGCGCTTTTATGTCCCGGTTCCCAGGCGCTAAGGACATGTTCAGACACGCTGCTGTCCAGCCCATCCCCCCCACCAGCTACCTTAGCGGTGCCCCCCCCACCCCGCGCCTCCGCAGTCCAGCGGCGTGAGAGAAATAATGACAGAAGGGAAAACAGAAGGGCTTTCGCTGCTACTCCTGGCCCACCAATCAAACATGGCCCTTCCAGCCCTAGTGACTAAAAACCCCTAGCACCCTGTCTCCCTGTCCCTGCACCACTTTTCCTCCCCATCAATAAATAACCACCTTTCTCCCTCACTCAAGCCACTCCCAAAAGCTTCAGGCCTGAGGGTTCTCTTCGGATGCCCCAGCGGAGACCAGGGTGGCGGCCCCCCCCCACCCCGCGGCGCTCAGTTGGATGGTGCCGGGCCGCCCTCAGCCTCCCGCTTGCCTTTGCCCCCGGGGGGCTCCGCCGCTCCACTGGCCTTGCCCTCGCCTGTGGCCGCCCCCGCAGCCTCCTCCTTGGCACCCTCGTGGGTTTTCATGTGTTTGGCCAGGTGGTCGCTGCGCATGAAGACACGACTGCACACGGCACAGGGGAACTTCTTGGTGCCGGTATGGGTCTGGAGGTGGCGCTGCAGCTCGTCGGAGCGCGTGAAGCGCTTGCCGCAGAAGAGCCAGTTGCACACGAAGGGACGGTCGCCGCTGTGCCAGCGCAGGTGTGCCTTCAGATGGGACGTCTTGGCGTAGGCCTTGCCGCAGCCTGGGATGTGGCAATTGTGTAAGTGCTTCTTCTTGCCCCCATCTGGGCCACACGGAGCTCCCAGTCGCTCAGCCTCCAGACAGTTGGGGCAACGGCACACGGTCTGGCCTGAGCTGCGGGGCACTGACCGCCGGGAGCCTTTGGGCCGGGCCGCCCCATCCAGACTGGAATCCAGCCCCTGGGACTCCGGGGCAGCCGCTTCCAAGGCCTTCGCCCCGTCGGGCGGCCCCAGAAGGTGCTGCCCTCCAGCAGCTGGGAGGAGGTGATGTGGATGCGGGTGGGGCGGCGGAGCACAAAGCTGGTGGTCTCCAACATAGCCCCCCAAACCGGCCTGAAGCGCCCCGGGGTGGCCAGGGGAGGTCAACGCGCCCTGAGTGTGGGGGAGGTCCATCCAGCTAGTGCCCGGATGAAGGTCCCACCACGAGCCATCCTCCGTGCCTGGGTGGGTGGGCCGGAACCACGATTCATAATGGTGCGACATGTCTGGCTGCAGGAGTTTGGAAAACGGTCCTGGAGCCAAAGGACTGTCACTTTCCAGGTCCTCGCAGGTTACCCGCGAGGCGGCCCCCGGCAGCTCATAGCCCTGTGAGAAGTCCACCTCTGGGCCCAGCGGGAGGCTCTGCAGCTCTCCAGGCTGCAGCGGGGAGGGGTAGTCCCCGGCCTCCGGGCTTGTGTGGCCCTGGTATGTTTGGAGAGGCTGCAGGTCGAGGCGAGGTGGGGAGGCGTGAGGCGCGTCAGTGTGCTGGCTGCCCAGAGAGCCGCAGACAGCGGTTAGCATTGCCGGGATCCGGGGTGGGGGTGGGGGCAGGGACAGTCAGGGGAGCCTCAGATGGGACCTAAGGGAGGCAAACAAGACAAGTAAGGAAAGCAACCAGCTCACTCGCCGTCCAACCCAGATTCCCTCCCTGCAATGTGCTCCCCTCTGGCCCCCCAGGAGAAAAAGCGGAACCCAGCCCTAGGTGGAGACTAAAGATCAGTTAGGAGAATTTGGGAGTGCTATTTGAGAATGTGTATGTAGGAGCCCTGATGGCGCAGCAGTGGTTAAGAGCTCCACTGCTAACCAAGAGGTCAGCAGTTCAAATCCATCAACTCTCCTTGGGAACCCTATGGGGCAGTTCTACTCTGTTCTATAGGGTCACTATGAGTCAGAATCAACTCAACAGGCAATGGGTATTTGAGAATGTGAGGTTATCAGCCAAGGGCTGAGGATGATGGAGCTCTGCCTTTCTCTAGGTTATCCCTTCCACAGGACCCAGCTCACCCTGGGAGTTGGGCTGGTCCCAGGCTAGTAGGTAGGACACACCTTGAGTACAGTGTTTGAACCACCCCCACCCCAGCTGCCCAGGCCAGCACAAGGGGCAGTGGCATTTTTTCCCAGCAGGCCTGCTGCCAGCCCCAATGGGATCTAGACCCATCTTAGCTTCTCCAGTTTACCTCAGGACACACATAGGGGGAGGAGGATGGTCTGTTCCTGAAACCCAAAGCCTTAGGTGACTTGCCTTTCCAAAGCCCAAAGCAGGTTCTATTCAGTGAGGAAGAGCATTCCATTTCTCTGCACCACTCCCCCCAGCTCCTGGCTGGGTTGCCTTGGCCCCACCAAACCCACTCCCATGCCTGGCTCGCCTCCTTTCCCTTGGGCAGGGACTTCACCTTCCAGGAATGCAGCTGCAGTGCTAGTTTTGGGGGAGTTCACTCCACCAGAGAAAGCCAAGTCCCCTTTCCTGCTCTGACCTACACCAGTGCCCGCCATCTCTCTGGCTGCTACGCATGTCCTTCTTAAACTGGGGGAGACCCAGACGTAAAGCTGGGAGGGGTCAACTTTCCCCAGAGAAGGGGATCAGCCAGAAAAGAGCTTTCCAGCAAGCTCCAGAAAGCAAAATTGCCACCCCCTTAAGGGATGAAGGATCAGAATGTTAAGGCATGAAAGGTCAGAATGAGGGAAGAGGAGGGCAACCAGAAAAGCCAGTAACAGAACTTAGTAGGGAGAATTGCCCAAAATGATTATCTAAAGCAGGGGTAAGTTTTAGAAGCTCCCTCAGATCATTCTAATATGCCGCCAAGTGTTGAGAACCACTGCTCCAGGCCAACCCTCTCATTTTAAAGAAGAGAAAACTGAGGCTGACTTTGGAGAAGTGACTCGAACAAGTTACATTCATTTATTCATTCAATCCACAAGTATGTACTGTATGTGTACCTGGTCTGTGACTCTTTCCTTAAACCACGGGGAACCTAAAGTCTCCCACCTCTTAACCATATAGCTATGTCTTGAAGGTCCTCCTCTTCTCACTGCCTCTTCCCTAAGTTCGAGTGCCTCTGAGGTTTGGGTGCGTGGGCCTTCTCTGATGGGGTGGGGTGAAGTGTGGCGCAGTAATTTAGGGGAAGGGTTTTTCCATTCTACAGCGGGTCCCAGTGACTCCTGACACCTTCTGCCTCTGGGGCCAAGGAGGTAGCACTAGTAGTCTGGGAAAGGGAAGGAGAGGGGGACTGGGGCACCTACTCCGGCTTGGCTGCCTCACCACAAGAAAGAAACAGGGTGAAGCAGCAGGAATGGAGCCTCAGGCCCAGGCGGGACAGCCCAGAAGGGGCTGGGCAGGAGCAACGAGGCCTGGGACCCTAATAGCTTTTGGCGCCTGGGAACTGCCCCAGGGGCTGGGGAGTTGGGAGGCTAGGACGACCTAGGCTCCAGCGTGGCCAGCCCTACCCTGTCTGACACAGAGCCCGGGAGCTCGGTCCTGGGATGCAATGGCCTGCCACCAAAGTCTCGGAAAAGGAGACAGCAGGGCGCGCACCCCGGGTTTCCCGCTCCCCAACGCGGCAAGGCGGGTAGAAACACCCTCGTTCCCCATTTCGCGGCCACTTCTCCCGATAATCGTCGCGCAGGTGGCCGGGCCTTTCGTACTCCCAGTCCCCAAGGTTCTCGTCCTCCGGTTGTCCCAGTTGCTCTAGTTTCCAACCTCCTCGGTCCCTCCAGCCTCTCCCTTCCGCCCAGTTTTCCCTCCGTCGGGGCTATAAGGCCCTCAGATTCTTTAGGACTACCCCCACCCAAAGACCATAGCAGGCAGTGGCGCATTCGGAGCACGTTTCCCGAGAGGATCCTTGCTGCGCGCACCCCTCGCCGCCGTATCTGGGCTCCTACCTGGAGGCTGCGCTCGGGCTCCGGGCACGGCTGGCTGGCGCACTACAGACGGGCGCTCATGGGCCCTGCGTGCGGCAGCTCCTCGGCGGCGAGGGCAGGCGCTGGGGACCGGGACTGGGACCAGAGCCGGCGGCGGGCCGAGGAGGCGGAGGCGGAGAGCGCGGCGGAAGGGCGGAGGGCGGGCGGGAGCCAGCTAGCAGCGAGGCCAGCTCGGCCCGTGACTCACCGCTCTCTGCCAGCATCCTCTCCCCGCGCTCCTATTTCCCCTGCCTCACGGCCCCGCCCACCTCACCTGCGGCCGCCTTTAACCCTTGCGGGCTCGGCGGGACAGGAGGCACAGCTTGCGGGGAGGGGGCGGGCGGGAGGGGGGGGCATCGCTAACCTGGCTGCGCGTCCCTTGGCACGCCTCCTACTTCGCTCCTCCCTTGTCCCCTAGACTCCCTGGGTTGGTGGCCGGGGCGGGGTACTTGCCCGGTTGCGAGACCCGCACCAGCGGGTGGAAAACTGCCCTAGAGTTGGCGTGGTCAGGCAGGGGACGCAAGACTCAGACCCCGGGGGAATGGAGAAAGGGGCTGATCCTGGGGGTGATGCCGAACCACCCTCAGGGCGCGGGTGGCCTCGACGGCCCTCGACCCGCCCTCCCCGGCAGGGCAGCGCTGCCCGGAACTGAGAGGAAAGCTGGAAACAGGATTGAGCGCCAAGTATGTGTCCGTTCTACCCCCAGGCCTAGGCCATGAGAACTTTATCTTGGCCTACCTCCTTCCCCACCCGCCATCGCTTTCCCTACTTCCCTCCCCCTCTTTCCCTCTGGCTTTCGAGTTCTCTCTCCCTGGTCACTCGCCTTTCTGAGTGACCACCTCCTCTCCCCCTCCCTCCCACTGCCCCACTTTCCTGACTCCGCCTGCCCCACTTGTCTCCCCGGCCCCCTCAGCTCTCGCCTCCCCCTCTCGCTAACCTTAGGCGGCAACCCCGTCCCCCAGTCCATTCCTTTCGGTCCGGGAGGTGCTCAGCCTGCGCCCCGCCACCCTCGCCCTGCGCACCGGCCCTGCAGCCCAAAGGCTGGAGTAGCCGTCTGAATGGCCCTATGACGGGATACTTCTGGAAAGAACTGAGTGGCCGTTTGCTACCTCGCTTTCCCGATTCTCACCCGAATATGTAGACCCGAGGTTCTTAACTTGGGCAAGGGTCTTTGAGAGTTGATTGAATTCCAGAAAAACAAAAACAAATGAACATACGCAATACAACATTCTAGTAACATGTCAGGGCATTCGTAGCGCCCACCTAAGAAAGAACTCTCGAAATCCGGGCCCGCTGGGGTCCCTAGGAACGGTCAACCACCCGCAGATCAGGGAATGTTCCCCCTCCCAGTCCCTGCCTCCTCCACCAGCCTCATTGGCCTCTCTCGGTGACCCTATTTTGCAGGGGATTTCTGATCAATTTCCCTATTTCCTTTGTAGCGCTGGTTGGCTTCTTCTGTGCGCTTCGCCCCTGCGTTTTTATTTCGTTTTTGTTTTTGCAGTCTGTTTTGCTCAGCTGGTCCGTGATTTAGCCTGATTTAATCTAGTCTCTACAGCCGCCGATTCCACCACTGGTTGCCTGCTCCCGCATTCCCCGAAATATTCGAAATATGACTATAACACAGCCAGACTGAGTCCATAAGCCACGTGAAAATCAATCTGTGCGTGCGTGTGTGTGTGTGTGTGTGTGTGTGTGTGTGGTTTTCCCCAACACACACACGTTGTCCTATCCAGAGTCAACGTCTGATTCATCTGCCCATCTCCTTCTTTTCTAAGCCTCAGTTTCCTCATCTGTACAACGTGGGTGCAAGTTGGGAGGGTTTCTTGGGGCTTAAAGGAAATGATATTCCGAAAATGCTTAGCTGTGTTTACCGTGCGCCCCTGATAAAAGCACAGTAAAAGGAAGATATCGTTGTTGTTCAAATTATTAAATAAATCGGTTCCTAACAAATGTTTGTTGGATTAAGATATATTCACAAAGACCTTTGGACTCAGCAATTGATGTACTTAGATTTTAACTCCAGCTCTGCCACTTGTTAAATTCCTTATGAGCCCCGGGCGGGTCAGGTTCTCTGAGCCTCAGTTTCCTCATCTGTGAAATGCGGTTAGAGCCGCCCCCGAGCCAGGTAAGAAACAGGGGCTTGGGAAGCCGCGAGGCACGTCCTGGACTTCGGGGGTTATTTCTGATCAATAGGATTTCCCTACTTGCGCACTTGGGCTCCGGAGATGTAGATTCGCAAGAACTGCTCTGAATCTTTGTCGCCGCGGCTAAATCAACAACCCTACCTACTGGCACGGTTTTATCTCTGTCTACTCAGCCTGGCGGAAACCCTGGTGGCGTGGTGGTTAAGAGTTCGGCTCCTTACCAAAAGGTCAGCAGTTCGAATCCACCAGGCGCTCCTTGGAAACCCTATGGGGCAGTTCTACTCTGTCCTATAGGGTCGCTATTTGTCGGAATCGACTAGACGGCAACGGGTACTCAGCCTGGCTGGTTGGTTTGCAGCCCAGTTCACAGACACGTCCGGAACGGAGTTATGGGCTCACGTCCGGAATGGAGCCCGGGAATCCGGTTCCACCGTTAAACCTGTGATTCTACCTTGTGGCAATCCCCGCCTCCTCCTCCCGGCAGCCCGCCGGCCTTCTTGCAGTTCCTGCCTCTACTGCTCCTACGGTGCTAACGCAGGCGCAGAGGCCTGACTCCAGCTGGCAGGAAACCAAGTCCGTCTCACGTTTATAGGCGTCAGTTTGCCTTATTTTCCCGGCCCCTTCAAGCTTTCCCCAGAAAGCAACAGGGAAATGGAATCCAGCCCCCCGGATTGCTCGTGGCACCAGAGGCCCCTTTAACTCTACTCCTCCCTGACCCGCAGCCATCTGGGATTCCCAGGAGACTCACCCTAGCAAAGACCTTCCCTCTGATTGTGGCCCATCGGAATGAAATTCAACAGTAACACAACTGGCTGGGAAAGCTCTCAGCGTTCTGATTTACTGCGTTGCCTAGATTTCTGCCTCTGACCCGGTGCGCTATTTTTCCTCCAGATCCCGCTCTGCTTGCATTCCTTTGGCAGAATTCCAATCCATTTGGTATCCCACTTGCTTGGTGTTTTCCTACCCAAAGGTGGCCATGGCCTGATGGTGAAGGTCACCACTGCCTATTGTCCACACTCTTACCTCACCTCAGTATTGAACAACATTGCCTACTACATCTCCCCCACACACACATCTGCCCGGGATTTGGACCATTTCTTCTCCTCTCTCTCACCTTCCAGAAGGATAAGCAGGCAGATTTCCCAAGTGTCCACCGCCCATCTCTGCCATCTCTCTTCTTCTCACACCTCATTTATAGTCAGCAATCCAGTTTGCACCTATGGCAGCCTCACTAGTCTCCATGTTCATTATAACCAGCATTTATTGAGCACCTACTGTGTTCCAGGTACTTTACACAAGTATCTCCAATTCTCCTGAGCATGCAGTAAGTAGGTATTTTTATCCCCATTGTGAGGAAACCAAGATCAAAGAAGTTAAATGACTTTCTCAAGATTACAGAGCTGTTAAGAGACAGAGGAGGAAGCTGAGTCCACATTTGTCTGCCTGGTATTCCACCCAGCCTCACTCTAGCAGATTCTGAAGGTGGAGGGCACAGCAGTCTCAAACTGGAACCCTGGATCACAGCCATCCACCATCCTGAGTCTAATATGACAAACTGGTCCCATCTTGGATGGCTGCGACAAGCCACAGTCTACACCTGTAGTCTCTTCCAAAACCTCAGCTGCTCTTCATGGAGATTATACTATGAGAATATCAAGGCTGGTCTGCCCATAAAAACTATCTAGTCCAAGTCCTCATTTTACTGTTAGGGAAACTGAACCCCAGAAAAGGAGGCGAGTTGCTCAAGGTCACACAGCAAGTAGAAGGGGGGCAGGGACCAGAACCTCAGTCTCCTAATTCCTGGTTTTCTAATCGATCACACTTCTCTATTCCCCACCCCCACCTCCATGCTGCACTTTGAAGACTGCAAGCTGGTGACCCTAAAAAAAAAAAAACAAAAAACCAAACTCGTTGGTGTCAAGTCAATTCCTACTCGACTCAGACCCTATACTGGCTCATAGGGTTTCCAAAGAGTAGCTAGTGAATTTGAACTGCTGATCTTTTGGTTAGCAGCCGTAACACTTAACTACTGGGCCACCGATGGTCACCTGTGACCCTGGACACCAATGTATTCCTCCTTTTTTCTTTTTCTCCCCACCCCCCCTCCTCCCAGATTCCTGGGAAACTGGACACAGACTCCACAGCTGGGGCTAAATGGTTTCCTTCCACTTATCCTTTCATTCATTAAACAAGTGCTACCATGGTCCTAGCACTATTCTGGACACTTATTCTATTATAAATCTAAATATCACTAGCATTCAGTTTGAAAGATGAGCCCAGCTGAACATAGTGCATCTGTATGTTGGTGTACATGTGTATGTATCTACTAATGTGTGTGCACATCATGCTTGTATGTACCTCGGAGGCTTGAGTGTAGGGTCTCTCCTCTCTCCTCCATCATAAAGGGAGTTCCCCACAGGACAGGTACAGTGGGTCTCTCTTAATACCTCTGCAGGTGTACTATCATGCGTGAAAGTCTGTATGGTGAGTGAGTGTGTGCCCAGCATGTCTATTAATATTTGCCCATCCTTTCTCTTAACATAAAGCCTCCAGTTGTCTATTAACTGGTGACTCCCCACCTCACTTCTCCCCCAGATCTCAGCCCAGGCCACCCCAAAGATCTCCAGAGTCCACTTTGTTACCCCAGCAAACCCCACCAAGATCTCCCTCTTATTCCCCCCTCTCCAATTCAGACAGAATCAAGCCTTCTGGACCCTTCTCTATGATCCCCACTTTAAATTGGAGACCGGATTCTATTGTCCCCTATATTGGACAGGGAACAGCCCCCCTTACCAGTCCATGGAGCCCAGAGCTGGCAGCAGCAGTGAGGGGCCAGTGGGGGTGATGGGAGAGCCAGGCTTTATAAAGAAGGCGACAGTTGGAGCCAAAGGGGGAGGCGAGAGACGCGGGCAGGGATGCTGCCAAGTCCTCATGGCCTCCTCGGAAGCTTTTAGGATAATCCAGGAAACAGTAGCCCCCGGCTCTCCTGGGGGAAGGGCTGGGGGTGAGATCTGAGACTCTGAGGTCTGCCAGGAAAAGAGGATTTTAGCTGGAAGAGGCAGCTGGGGGGTGGGGACGCTGGACTTCCTTCCTCCTCCAGGGGTTGGATGGGCAGTGGGAGAAGGACAAAGCAGTTCTTAGGGGATGGAGGAAATGAGGCCATTGCTAGGAGAGAGGCTGGGAATGGCTGGAACCCTTCAAATTCCAGCCCCTTCTTTTTGAGGTGTCCTCCATAGACTTGGTGGGAAGGAAAGAAGTGCTACTTTGAAGACCTGAAAACGGCACCCTCACGCGCACACGTGCACACACACACACACACACACACACACACACACACACACACACACACCCCTCAGGTCAGTCCCTCCCTGCAGGGCTCCCACCACTCTTGTGGGTTACTCCAGTGGGTCTCTCTTGCCTCCCCTGGAGCCCCATTCCTCCTTCTCCTTTTTCCTCGTCCCCTTTTAAGACGTTCACCTCCCAACTTGGATGGTCCAGAAGGATCCAGTGTAATCAACCTTTTGGATCTGGAGTCTCCCATTGTCAGATAGGGAGGGAGGAACCTCTCCCTGACTCAGGGTGGGGCAGGGCAGCCTTGGGTGGACAAGAGATCACCTAAGACCAGAGGCAAGCTCGGCTAACAACTTTTATGGACAGTTCAGGACTCCTGAGCTCCGGGAGAGTTAAGGGGCTGGGAACGCCGCCTAGAAACGGGACAACGGGACTGGAGGTGAACTTAGGTGGCGCCCCCACACTATTTACATGCACTTAATTTTAGGGTGGCTGAAAGTTGGGGAGTGCTGGCTAACAGGAGCATGTCCTGGAGCAGAGAGGGACAAAAGACCAGGAAGGAGAAAGGAGACGAAACAGAATAAGACCGGTTTCCCAAAGCTTTCTGAAGCTGGGAATTCTGACCCACATAGGAGAGTGGCCTGGGGACTTTTCATGTGATCTGTCCCATTCTTTGCCAATGTCTTTGTCCCTGAGGACAGAAGCTGCTGTGTACCTCCTCTCCACACACACACATACAGCCCAGTAACCCAGGGTTTTTGTGCACCTTTTCCACTGCCCAAGTCTCCCACAGGGTGAATCAGGGAGTCTTCACCTTGAACTCTTTTCCTGCCCCTCCCCCTTTGCCCTCAGCTATCTTTAAACTGGGGATTCCCTGTCCCTTCATTAGCTTTTCAGTAATTATCCCTCCCACAAAGGCCCCGACAGGTCCTTCCTCTCCCCATTTCAGAGATGAGGACATTGAGGCCGTTAAGAGAGCTAAACAGCCCAGCAGAAAGCCACCCATCAAGCAGGAGAGAGTAGAGTGGTAGAGGGCTTAGGGGGCAGAGCTGCACCCCTCCCTTCAATCCCACGCAAAATTAGGAGGACTGGGCCAGCACAACTCCCTGGGGAATCCAGGCGTCAGGATTGAGGCTGGCTCCAAGGAGGGGCTTCCCTGTCCCTCCTCATCTTCCAGCCCAGAAACCCAGAGTAAGGGGGGGAAGCAAGCTGAGGAGACCACACAGGTGGAGTAAATAATGTTAATACGGGAGCATTATCACTAGGGCATTTCCTCATGGATAAATGTCTCAAATACCAAAGGATGCCTCCAAATTATAGTTAATTACAGAGTTGATTTGCATAAATTATAAGGTGAGCATACAAATTCTTTCAATCGGTTCCATATGCTTAGGTAGCAGGTCCAGTCCAAAAGATGGGAGAATCTTGGGGTGGAGGGAGCCTGGGGGGAGGGAGGAAAAGGACACAGCCCTTGGCCTGGACCTGCTGGCCCACACCCCTCCCCCCAGCCTTTGGGTCAGTAAAGGGTATATGGAGACCCTGACTGGTTTGTGGGGAGCAATTAACACAAGCATGACTTTATTTGGAGGAGACCCCCTTTCTTCCTGTATTTGCACCTTTGAGCAATGTGCTTTCCCACCACCAATGATGGGTAGGGGGGAGGGATGAGATGGGAAAGCCAGGGGTGGGCACAGTGGGGCCTATATCTGCAGAGTGGTGGGTGGGGACTCTGGAGTCCTGGCTTCTGGAAGGGGGGCTGGAGGAAGCTGAAGACCCAGCAAGGCTAATGGTAGATTCAAGCCCCTCTCTCTTGCTCTCAGCTTCCTCTGGAGCCACCCCCGCCTCCCCAACTCCAGCTCACTCCCAGAGCCAACCCTTGGATCCCAAGTTTGATGTTGCCGCTGCCTGCACCTTCCAGGTGGCTCCTCAGAGGCTCAGACTCGCAGACTTTTGTCTCCAGTGCCTGGGCCCATTTCCTCTGCCCTCGCCTCCCAGCCCCCTCCCACCCCTCAGCTGCTAAGACTCTACTTCCTTCTCCGGCTCTCTAATTTGTCCCTCCCTCCTGGCCCCCATCTTCAGCCCCAGAGGCCTGTCTCCTACCCTTCTTTCTCCATCTTTCTCTTCCTCCTCTGGCCTCTGTCCCTCAGAAATCCCAGGTCTATCACCCAGAGACACCAGGGCTCCCCAAGAGACCCCAGGGCTCCCCCACACTCAGCTGTGAAGTTTGTTTCTCCTGTTCCCTCCCACCCACCAACAGCTTTCTGCTGCCCAAGCTTCTCTCCCTCCCACCCGCAAACCTCATGCTAACCCTCAAATCCTTACTGTGCCTAGTTCTCTCCTTTTTCTCCATATACCTGCTCTAAAGGCAGAAGCTACTGGATTATCTTGGGGCGGGGGTGGGGAGGATGTTGGGCTAAGGTTCCCCCAGGCATGTGTGGGTGAGAAGTTACCTTTTTCTTCTCATCCAGAAGTCAGAGAGAGGAGAATGAAGAAAGAGCCTAAAATGGCGTCTGGTACTTAGTAAGTGCTTAATAAATATTTGTTGAATGAATAAATGAATTGGAAATGGGCACTGGTCAATGACAGGTCTACAGAAGTGCCAACTTGCTAACAGAAATTTTTTCTTGTCTGTATTACTTTTCTAGTCTCTTATACGGGCTACCTATCTCTTCTGTCCCCACCCACCGAGGTTGTCCTACATACCAACAATAGAACAATCACTCTAAAATGCCACTCCATTTTAGCACTTCCCATCTCAAACACATCCAATGGCTCCCCAGTGCTAGTTTTGACATCCAAGGCCCTCCTACTTGGCCTCCATAGGCTCTGCAGTCTTCACTTCCATTGGTCCTTACACAAACCCTACTTCCCGGCCAGCGGTGGATTAACCAGTAAGCAAGGTACACACCGGCTTAACTGTGTTTACTGACTAATCTGAAGTGCGCCATTTCACATCAAAGGTGTGGTGAAAAACAGGTGAAATGGTGCACTACAGATTAGTCAGTAAGCACAAGTAAGCCCGTGCGTATCTTGCTTATTGGATAATCCATCTGTGAGATTCCCAGCTCAGCCCAGCTGACTTGATGTTCACCAAACATGTCCAGCCTTCCTACCTTTGCTCCAACAGTTTTTACCCCTCGGACTCCGTTCCTACCTCAGAAAAGCTTATCAGCCTTCAAATCCATATCATCCATCATCCTCTAACTCTGGCTCAAAGGCTACTTTCTCTGTGAAGTCTTCTCTTATCAGCACATCACTGGCTTGTTCTCTGAACTTTTTTAGCATCTATTGCCTCGTTCCCTGTTTTCTTATCTTCCTTATTGGTCGGTAGGCTCTTTGCAGGTAAGGACCATGTCTTTTTCACACCACAGTCCTCAGCCCAGTGCCTTTCTTGGAGAACAGGGTGGATAAGCCATGGCTGAATGAATTAGAGACATTCTTCCTGGAATCCCCAAAATTTCCTCAGCTGAGGAGGGTGAAAGAAGCCTGGGTCAGGCGAGAAGACACAACAGGGGCCTTGAAACACAAAGATCCGTGAACAAAGTGATCACAGCGTCCCTGCCATCCTCTCTGCTGCCTGGTTGTGCGATGGAAGTGGAAGGACCCCAGGTCTGGGGCCAGGAGGATATCTGAGATGAGCAGAGTTGAGATGAGGGCTAAGGGAGGGTGAAACACTCTACCCTGCTATCCTACTTGGGACAAGGAGTTAGAGATCTGGGAAAGGGGAATGAACAGTGAGTGGGAGCTGGGAAGAAAGTGCTGGCTGGGTGGCAGCAATGGAGAAAAGCAGAGGCAATCCCCTTTGTACCTCTGTGGGCAGTTAAGATTCTTACGGGGTGAGAGGACCATGGTCATGTCATGCCTCAGCTCAAAAAACTTTCAATTGCTACCCACTACCTACAAGAAAAAGTCCTTACTCTTTGGAACTTTAGCACCATTCGCCATTTGGCCTAAGCCTACCTTTGCAGCCTCATTTCTTCCCACTCCCCAGGTTCCAGCCACAAGGGCTTCTATTCCATCCTTCCTTTCCACACTCTTTCATGCCTCACATTGTTCTTTGTCTAAAATGCTATTCCCTGTTTCTCTGCCTTATGAGCTCCTATTGATCCTTTGAAGCCCAACTCATATGTCCCCTCCTCTATGAAGCCTTCTCCAGTTATCCAAGCAGAGTTAGTCCCTCCCCTTTCTGTGCTCCCAGAGTCCTAAAGTGCAGGAGGGCTTAATGCTGTTTGATGGGGGATACGATTAGCTGTGTGTGTCAGACCACGAGACCTTTGAGGGATGGGAAATTTCTCTGTTCATTTTTGTACCTCCCCTGCAGCATCTCATACAATGACTAGCACTGGATATGCATTACATGTGTGTTGCATGGGATTGAATTGCGCCCTTTGCAGAGGAGTAGAGGTTGTTGGGTTCTCTATAAATTCCTTTGTCACAGTCACCCAGGGTTTGCCTGGTGAGCATCAAGATGCTGCACCAAATGCATGCCCAGACTCTTCCTTTTTCACCCCTACCCCATGCCCAGTGCCCTGTCAGGAATCCCAGGTCAGAGTTGGCAGATGAGATGCAATGAGGGGCCCAGCATCCTGCGTCTTGGCCAGCTGGGCACTGTTACCAACCTAT